AGTAGTAGTAGTAATAGTAGTAGTAGTAGTAGTAGTAATAGTAGTAGTAGTGACAGTAGTAGCAAGTATAAATCTTCCCCTTCACTCGCTCGCAGAGGACAGACAATCGCCAATCTCTCGACTGTACCATATGTTCGTCGACTGGTTTATTGTTGTTTATCTGTCCTACAAATTGTCTGTACGTACTCCTCCTACAGATATATCTGTTGTTTCTCTGTTGTTGATGTTGTTCTGTTTCGCTAGAGCGTGGGCGGGTCGAAAGCGCGGTCTTCCCCGATCGCTCTTTTCTCGGCTTTCCGTTTCGATTTGTCGTGGGGGTTTGGAGAAAACACGCCCCGAGCCACCCTCCTACCCGACACCCGCCCTGCGACGCTTTCCGCGCGTCGCCGTTGTTTCCTCCGCCGCGCGGAGAAAACGCCGCGCCGCGCCCGGGAGAACGTAGCGAGGAACAGATGCGCGAGCGACTGGCTCTCGAGGCGCGGTGAAGAGAGAAGAAGAAGAAGAGAAGAGACAGAGAGACAGAGAGACAGAAAGTAAAAAAGAGAGGCGGACGGACGAAGAATACGACACACTGTGTACAGTGTTCACGCCGGTTGGTTCGTCGGTGAGTCCGAGAGTGTCTAAGTCTGTAGGTCCGAGAAGATCGGCATGGAAGATCCGCCGCGGTTCGCGGTGTTCGATGAAATATATCGTATTTCGCAGAATACCGGATACACCGAAAACGGTTCGAGTGGTTGGACGCAGAGCTTTCCAGCGGTGGGAAACGGAAAAGGGGTGAAAAAGTGACGGGGTCTCCGCGAGAGATCGATAAGTTTCCACGGCGCGCCGTTCGCCTCGAGAATCTCGCTCGTGATCCGAGATACGAGATAACGCGTGCGATATCGAGGGGCAGCTTTGCGTCATCGTTTCGCCGGTTCTGGATTCGCTGCCGAGAAACGGGCAGCTTTCCGGTAGCCGTTGCGTTTTATCTTCCGGAAAACGAAGCCGCGCCCGTGCACGGTGATGTCTCTCCGATCGACGCTCAGATTGTGTTCTGAAAATGGATTATTTGGGAAGAGCAGATACGATTATTCGATTCTTGAAGTTCATTTTTATAGTTACGAATTGTCTACGGTTATAAAAATGAGCCGCAAGGCTCGAATAATCGTATCTCCTCTTCCCAAATTGTCCGTTTTAGTGGAGAATCCGAGCGTCGGTAAGGGAGTCGGTAAGCGCGTCGGTAAGCGCGTAGGATGATTTTACGAGTGACTCGACATTCCGTCGATTTCTAGATCGCCCCGATCGTCACGTTACGAACAAATTGAAGCTCGTCGAAACGATGACGCAAGCTCCGGGTAAAAATCGCGCGCGCGCAACATCGCGCAGGAATTCGAACGAGAATTCGCGCGAGATCGGTTATGTCAAGAAACCGGTCGATCCTCCGCGGAGAGACACGCCCGACAACGAGAACAAAAACGAGAACCGAAAAGGATATAACCGATAACCCGATCGTTTTGAGTCGCGAGAGACCGGAGGCGGGGACCGTTGGCTGGCTCGGAACCATTTCCGAGTCGTTTCCGGGCTTTCTCCGGAAAAACGCCGGTGATTCTCGGGACTCGAACGAACGTCGGGGATACCTAAATGAACGCAAAAGTAGAACACACGCACACCGAACTGGGTATTTCAAGGAAGAGCCAGAAGAGACAGATACAAAGACAGAGCAGAGACAGAGACGGGAAAAAGAGTGAGTGAGAGAGAGAGAGAGAGAAAGAGAGAGCATGAAGAGATCGGCGAATGACCGGACGAGAGAGGAGAGAGGAGAGAGCGAGAGAAAAGGAGCCGAGAGCTTTATCCGACTGGATAAACCAGAGGGCGAGAGGGCGAGAGAGCGAGAGGGTGAGAGAGCGAGAGGGCGAGAGGGCCGAGTAATCGCGAAACGATTCTCGTCTGCTTTGTCGTCGACGCGCGCAAGACGGCTCAAGAGATCACCGGAGGATCCGAGATCCGTTTCTCTTCCCTCCTTGCCCTCTGTTCCCGTTTCGCGGAAACGACTGCGATTCGAGCGAATCTCGCCGAGGGAAGCAGGGAGAGAAATGGAGGAAAAGCAAAGAAGAATGGAAACTCGCGGGATCCGACGCGGAAAAAGAAAACGAGCGGCCGAGTAAGAGTCGAGAGCCGAATAAGAGAGCCGAATAACGGCGAGTCGAGCACCGCGCGGATCCGGCCGGATGTTAATTAGAGGCGAGCTCTCCTCGCCCTTTGGAAAAGGGAGCGTCCTTTGGAAAACTGGGGAGACCGAAACCGAAAGTCCCTTTGCTCTCCTTTGCTCCTTTTCTCGCGCTCGCCTTCGAAGTCGAGCCCGGAGAGATCCGAGACTCGCGACGATCATTCAAATGCAACTTACGATTCGATTCGATCGCGAGCCGTTCCAATTTTTTGGAAAAAGTCGATTCGACACTGTTCGGACGTCGTTTAATTTTGTAGTTGATGTCGTTCAAGGGGGCCGACCACTTTGACGCGATCAAAAATTACTTATATTTTGAAACAATGACAGAAGAGAATTAAAGATTTGATCGCGATATAAGTTTTTATGGCTTATTTTACAATGCTGCGAACTATAAAAAAATGATGTTAAATTTTTTTAAATGCTGTTTCTTTAGATTTTCAACGACATAGCTCGAAATTCCTTTTTTTAAGATGGCTAAGCGAAAATACTTGGAAGAAAAATTCGAAAAATACATAAAACTAGAATACATTCTCTATACTTTTCGTATTTTCTATATTTTTCGTTTATATTTTCCGTAATTCATAAATATTAGGAAAACAAGGACACCTTAAACACCGTTTTTAGAAACACGATTTCGAGAGAAACGCGTTCAAAGTCTTCGAACGTAATTTTTCACACGAATCGCCTGCAGGCTTCTTATTTCGAAAAATAATTAGTTCCAAAGCCTGGAACCTTTTGGAATTTATTGTTAAGACTGCAAACTACTATTTCGGACGAAAAAGAAATTTGATTTCTTTTAAAATTTCAAAGTGGTCGGACCCCCCTTGAGCGAAGAGAGATACGCGCGATTCTACTCGCGTTTCCATTTTAACCCTTTGCACTCGTGCGGCGATTCTGAGGCGCCACTAAAAGTTGCTATACCATTTTTCAAAATCATTCTAAGAGCATCAGACTCGTTTATATTTGAAAAAGAAACTATTATAATTGCATTGCATATGCATAAATCGCAATAAATTATATAAAATAGAAATACTTGTAGATCAAAAATCACGTT